GGCAAAATCTACTATATCTATACTTTTAATTTTTTTTTTCATTTTTTTATTTATCTTGAGACAGAGTCTTGCTGTGTCACCAGGCTGAAGTACAGGGGCACGATCTCGGCTCACTGCAACCTCCATCTCCCAGATTCAAGTGATTCCCCTGCCTCAGCCTCCTGAGTAGCTGGGAGAACAGGCACATGCAACCACGCCCAGCTAATTTTTTCATATTTTTAGTAGAGACAGGGTTTCACTATATTGGCCGGGCTGATTTCGAGCTCCTGACTTCATGATCCGACTGCCTTGGCCTTTCCCAGAGTGCTGGGATTAGAGCCGTGAGCCACCGTGCCTGGCCAATCTATGATATATTTTTAAAGGGAAAAGACAACAGCATAATGTAACTCCATTTTTTAAAATGTATGGCTAGGTGCAGCAACTCATGCCTGTAATCCCAGCACTTCAGGAAGCCAAGGTGGGTGAATCCTGAGATCAGAGTTCGAGACCATCCTGGCCAACATGGTGAAACCCCGTCTCTACTAAAAATACAAAAATTAGCAAGGCATAGTGGTGCATGCCCGTGGTCCCAGCTACTCAGGAGGCTGAGGCAGAAGAACTGCTTGAACCTGGGAGGTAGAGGCTGAAGTGAGCTGTGATCACCCGACTGTACTCCAGACTAGGAGACAGGGTGAGACTCTGTCTTAAACAAATAAATAAATAAATAAATAAATACAAATATAAATAAATAAATATATGTTGACGCAACATAGCCAGTATGTACATACTTACTACTCTTTAAAATATGTCTAGGCCAAGTGCAGTGGCTCTAACCTGTAATCCCAGCCCTTGGGGAGGCCAAGGTGGTGGATCATCTGAGGTCAGGAGTTCGAGACCAGCCTGACAAACATGGTGAAACCCCACCTCTACTAAAAATACAAAATTAGCTGGGCGTGGTGGAGCATGCCTGTAAGCCCAGCTACTCAGGAGACTGAGGCAGGAGAATTGCTTGGGTCTGGGAGGTGGAGGTTGCAATGAGCCGAGATTGCGCCATTGCACTCCGGCCTGGGCAACAAGAGCAAAACTCCAACTCAATAAATAAATAAAGTCTAATTCACTAAGAAGATTATTTGGTTTTGTTATTGAATATTAAAAAAATAAGATATACTACTTCCAAATGTAGAGTTAGTTCTAGAGGAAAAGAAGTAAATTAAACAGTGCACCATATCATCCAAAATTACATAGAACAGTTAAGAACATCTACAGTGTTCTACAAATCACTGGTGATCTCCACAAAACATTTCAACACAAAAGTGTTCACATATAGAATACACCTAACTAAGGTCTTAAAAAATCTTGATGTAACTACATACACCAACGCTAGCCCACAACAACCCAGGCAAGTATATGGAGCAACTGGAACTCTCATACGTTGGTGGTGGAAATGCAAAACAGTATAATAGGCACTCTGGAAAAAGGTTCGGCAGTTTCTTAACAAAGGCAAACATATACTTACCTTGCACCCCAGTAATTTTCACTCTTAAATACTACAAGAAACAAATACATACCTTCACACCAATACCAGTATATAAGATATTCATTCATAGCAGCATTGCTCACAATAGCATAAATACTATTCAGCAATAAAAAGAAATAAACTTGGCACAAAAGACTACACAATATATGACTACATACGTATATGAAATATTAGAGACAAATACAAAAATGTCTAATTTAGTATTAAAGTCATTTGCTTTTGTTTTTAAAGATGGAAAAGTGCTGGATGCAGTAGCTCACGTCTGTAATCTCAACACTTTGAGAGGCCAAGGTAGGAGGATTGCTCAAGGCCAGGAGTTCAAGACCAGTCAGGACAACACAATGAGAACCCACCTCTACAAAAAATTTTAAAATTAGCCAGGTGTGGGGGTGCACGCATGTAGTCTATAGCTTAAATGGCTGGAGCAAGAAGATGGCTTGAGCCCAGAGGTTCGAGGCTGCAGTGAGTTAGGATCATAACTGAACTCCAGCCTCGGTGACAGAGCAAGACTGTCTATTTAAAAAAAAAAAAAAAAAGACGAAAAAGTATAACATACGCTCCTAAACGAATAGCTAATTCTATATTAGTTAACTTGTATTAATTAATAAATTAATTTCATATATATCAAATACTAAAGATGAAACCAAAGAGACAGAAAATACATCAACCGTTGCTTGGAGTGAGGGGTGGGAGAAGGAGCAATGGCAAACAGACAAGAGGGAAGACTATGGGGATGATAAGAATGTTTTTATTGATTGTGGTGGTAGTTACATAAGTGTATACATTTGCCAAAAGTTAACCAGCTGGAAACATAAAAGAATAAATTTTATTTTGCGTTAATCAAACTTTAACAGGAAATTACAACAGTACCTGCACTGGGATGGCTAAATGAAAACAACAAATAGCAAGTGTTGCTGTGGGCATAGAAAAATTAGAATCTTCAATATTGCTGGTGGCATTTATAAACTGGTACAACCACCTTGAAAAAAGGTATGAAAGTTTCTCAGAAGGTTAAACAGAATTGCCATATGACCCAGCAACTACTTTCCTAGATACATGTATAATCAATAGAATTGAAAACAAGTCTAAATAAAAACTTAGATACAGGGCTGGGCATGTTGGCTTATGCCTGTAATCCCAGCATTTTGAAAGGCCAAGGTGGACAGATCACTTGAGGTCAGGAGTTGGAAACCAGACTGGTTAACATGGCAAAACCCTGTCTCTACAAAAAATACAAAAATTAGCCAGGTGTGGTGGCATGTGCCTGTAGTCCCAGCTACTCAGGAGGCTGACGTGGGAGGATCACTTGAGCCTGGGAGGCGAAAGCTGCAGTGAGCTGAGATTGTGCCACTGCACACCAGCCTGGGGGACAGAGAGAGACCCTGTCTCAAATAAATAAATAAATAAAATTATGTACTCATATGGAATCTCAAAACAATCCCAAAAAAGAAGAACAAAGCTGGAAGTCTCTTCCTTTCTGATTTGAAAACATATTACAAACATTCAGTAATCAAAACAGCATGGTACTGGCATAAAGACGGACATATAGAACAGAATAGTGTCCAGAAATAAACCCTTGCATATATGGTCAAATGATCTTCCATAAGCATGCCCAGGCTACACAATGAAGAAAGGACAGTCTCTTCAATAAATGATGCTGGGAAAGCTGGATATCCACATTCCAAAAAAAAAAAAAAAAAAAAAAAAAAAAGCTGGATCCTTACACTGTAAACAAAAATTAACTAAAAATGCAAAATACATTAAAGAAGTAAGCATAAGACTTGAAACTATAAAACTGCTAGAAGAGGCTGGACATGGTGGCTCACGCCTGTAATCTCAGCACTTTAGGAGGCTGAGGTGGGCAGACTGCTCAGGAGTTTGAGACCAGCCTGGTCAACATGGCAAAACCCTGTCTATATCAAAAATTACAAAAATCAGCCAGGCATGGTGGTACGTGCCTATAGTCCCAGCTACTCAGGAGGCTGAGATGGGAGGATTGCTTAAACAGTCACTGTTGAGGCGGCCGTGAGCCATGACTGCACCATGCACTCCAGCCTGGGTGACAGAGTGAGACCCTGTCTCAAAGCAAAACAAAAACAAACAAACAAACAAAAACCTGCTATAAGAAAGCATAGCAGGAAAACTTAATGATACTAGGATTTTGTCAATTATTTCACATAGGACACCAAAAGCACAGGCAACAAAACCAAAATAGACAAAGAGACTATATCAAACTTCTACACAGAAAAGAAAATCAACAGAGTGAAAATCTAAGGAATGGAAAAAATTATTTATAAATCAAGTATCTGATAAGGGGTTAATATTCAAAACATATAAAGAATTCCTACACCTTAGTAACCAAAAAACTCTAAATAACCTGATTTAAAAATGGGCAAAGGACTTCAATAGACATTTCTCCAAAGATATACACAATGGCCAACAAGCATATGAAAAGATGCTCAACATCATTAATCATCAGGGAACTGCAAATACAACCAAAATATATTACCTCACTCCCGACTGGATGGCCACTGTCTGAAAAACAGGACTGGGCACAGTGGCTCATGCCTATAATCCCATCACTGTGGGAGGCCAAAGTGAGAGGATCACTTGAACCTAGTTGTTTGAGACCAGCCTAGGCAACATAGTGAGACCCCTATCGCTAGAAGAAAACCAGTTGGGTGCAGTGGCACACACCTATAATCTCAGCTACTTGGGAGGCTGAGGCAGAAGGACTGCTTGAACCCAGGAATTTGAGGCTGCAGTGAGCTATGACAGTACTATGGCACTCCAGCCTAGATGGCAGAGTGAGACAAAAAGGCATAGGGGCTCATGCATGTAATCCCAACATTTTGGGAGGCTGAGGTTGGGTGGATCACTTGAGTACAAGAGTTCCAGACCAGCCTGGCCAACACGGCGAAAGCCCATCTCTACCCTCCCCCCGCCAAAAAAAAAAAATAGCCGGGCATGGTGTTGCATGCCTGTAATCCCAGCTACTTGGGAGGCTAATGCAGGAAAATTGCTTGAACCTGGGAGGTGGAGGTTGCAGTGAGCCAAGATCGTGCCACGGCACTCCAGCCTGGTGCCTGGCAACAAAATGGGACTCTGTCTCAAAAAAAAAAAAAAAGAAAGAAAGAAAAGAAAAGAGAGAGAGAGAGAAAAAGAAATGAAGAAAATAAGTGTTGGTGAATTGGTGAAGTATATATCTAAAAGAATTGGAAACAGAATCTTAGTTCTTAGGTGACTTCATTGTATGAATATCACAGAGTGTACTTACACAAACCTAGATGATAGAGCCTACTACATACCTAGGCTATATGGTATAACTTATTACTCCTAGGCTATAAGTTAGTTGAACAGCTGCTATACTGAATACCGTAGCCTGTTATAACACAATAGTACCAGTGTAACTAAACATAGAAAAAGTACAGCAAAAATACAGTATGAAAAGATAAAATATGGTATGCCTGTATAGGCCACTTACCATGAATGGAGCTTATAGGACTAGAAGTTGCTCTAGGTCCATGTGTGAGCAGTAAGTGAATGTGAAGGCCTAGGACAGTAATGTACCCTACTGTAAACTTCATAAACACTATACTTAGACAACATTAGTTTTATTTTTTAAATTTTTCTAAAAATAAACAAACAAATAAATAAAAGGCTGGGTGCAGTGGCTCACGCCTGTAATCCCAGCACTTTCGGGGGCCAAGGCGGGTACGTCACCTGAGGTCAGGAGTTCAAGACCAGCCTGACCAACATGGAGAAACCCTGTCTCTACTAAAAATACAAAATTAGCCGGGCACAGTGGTGCACGCTGTAGTCCCAGCTACCTGGGAGACTGAGGCAGGAGAATCGCTTGACCCTAGGAGGCAGAGGTTGCAGTGAGCCAAAATTGCGCCATTGCACTCCAGCCTGGTTAACAAAAGTGAAACTCCATCTCAAAAAAAAAAAAAAAAAAAATTTTTTTTTCTTTTCTCAGTAATAAATTAGCCTTAGCTTACTCTAACTTTTTTACTTGTGATTTTTAACTTTTTTAACATTTTTACTCTTGCAATAAAACACTTAGCTTAAAACACAAACACATTGTACAACTATACAAAAATATTTCCTTTCTTTTTTTTTCTCTCTTCTTGCTCTATCCCCCAGGCTGGAGCGCAGTGGCATGATCTCAGCTCACTGCAACCTCCACCTCAAAGGTTCAAGCGATTCTCTTGCCTCAGCCTCCCCCGAGTAGCTGCAATTACAGCTGACTGCCACCACATCTGGTTAATTTTTGTATTTAGAGATGCAGTTCACCATGTTGGCCAGGGTGGTCTCGAACTCCTGACCACAGGTGATCCACCCGCCTCAGTCACCCAAAGTGTTCAGATTATAGGCATGAGCCACAGTGCCTAGCCTCTTTTTTGAGACAGGATCTGGCTCTGTTGCCCAGACTGGAGTGCAGCGGCACGATCTCGGCTCACTGCAACCTCTGCCTCCTGGGTTTAAGCGATTCTCCTGCCTTACCTTCCCAAGTAGCTGGGACTACAGGTGCGCACAACTATATCCAGCTAATTTTTTTTTCAATAGAGACAGAGTTTCACCATGTTGGCCAGGCTGATCTCGAACTCCTGACCTCAGGTGATCTGCCTGCCTTGGCTTCCCAAAGTGCTGGAAATACAGGTGTGAGCCACCGCACCCAGCCTACCCAACTTATTTTTGAATTTTTTTGTAGAGAAGGGGGCTCACCATGTTGCCTAGGCTGATCTGGAACTCCCAAGCTCAAGCAAGCTGCCTACCTCAGCTTCCCAAATTGCTGGGATTACAGGCATAAAAAATATTTTCTTTCCTTATATTCTGTAAGCTTTTTTCTATTTAAAAATGTTTAAGCTTTTTTTGTGAAAAACTAAGACACAAACATACACATTAACCTGGGCCTCACAGGGTCAGACTTATCATTATCACTAACATCTACTTCCACATTTTGTCCCACTGGTAGGTTTTCAAGGACAGCAACATTCATGGAACTGTCATCTCTATGATAACAATGCCTTCTTTTGCAACATCTTCTTCTTTAAAACCTGTCTGAGGCTGTTTTGTAGTAACTTTTTTGTTTATAAGTAGAAGGAGTATAATAATCTAAAATAATGATTAAGAAGTCCAAATGTAGTAAACACACAAACCAGTAACATACTCATTTATTATCATTATCAAACATTATGTACTATAAAAAATTTCATGTGCTATACCTTTACATGACTGGCTATATAGCCACTAGGTTCCACTTTTACCATCTAACTGCCAATTTCCAAAGAAAAAGTATATTACTAATAGCGCTGTGTGGGTTAATTTTATGTATCAACTTAACTGGATGCTCAGATGCCTGGTAAAATACTATTTCTGGGTGTGTCTAAGAGGTATTTCTGGAAGAGTATTTCAATCAATAGACTAAGTAAAGAAGATTTGCCCCACATCATGTGGATGGGCGTCATCCAATCTGTTGAGGGCTTGAATAGAACAAAAAAGTAAAGGAAGGGTATATTTGCTATTACTTCTTGAGCAATAGAACAAAAAAGTAAAGGAAGGGTATATTTTCTATTACTTCTTGAGCTGAATCATCAATCTTCTGCCCTTAAATATCAGAGCTAAGGACTTCAGGGCCTAGACCAGTGCCCACCCAGTTCTCAGGACTCCAGCCTTGGATTGGGAGTTAAAACACTGGTTTCCCGGGTTCTGAGGCCTTTGGACTCAGACCAAATTACATCACGAGCTTTCCTAGTCCTCCGGCAGCTTGCAGATAGCATATCATGGACCTCTCGGCCTCCAAAATCATGTGAACTAATTCCCATAATAAATCTCCTCTTACATAAGAGGACTTCAAAAAATTTGTGGAAAAATGAAATTACAAGATAAAAATAGGCCAGGTGCGGTGGCTCACACCTGTAATCTTAGCACTTTGAGAGGCTGAGGCAGGCAGATCGCTTGAGCCCCAAGAGTTTGAGATCCGCCTGGGCAACATGGCAAAACCCCATCTCTACAAAATATACAAAAATTAGCCAGGTGTAATGGTGTGCAGCATCTGTAGTCCCAGCTATTGTGGCAGGTGGGGTGAGGAGGATGCCTGAGTGAGAGGATTGCTGGGCCCAGGAGGTCGAGGCTGCAATGAGTCATGACCATGCCACTGCACTGCAACCTGAGACAGGACAGAGCAAGGTCCTATCTCAAAAAAATAAAATATATAAATTTTATTTCTCAACATAAGCTGCATCAAGATCAAGACACTTTTATAAGTGATGATACAAGCCATTTCCTCCATCGCTAAAGAATTGAAGGTCCTGGGAATTTAACCATGTCAATGTAATCTTTTTTATATTATTAACTGAAGAAAAATGGGTGTTCTTTAAAGATTTTTTTAAGATTAGGAAACAGCTGGCCACAGTGGCTCATACTGTAATCCCAATACTTTGGGAGGCTGAGGTGGGAGGATTACTTGAGTCCAGGAGTTGAGCCCAGCCTGGGCTCATAGTGAGACCTCATCTCTACAAAAAGTAAACAAAATTAGCTGGGCATGGTGGTGCACCTGTAGTCCTAGCTACTTGAGAGGCTGAGGTAGGAGGCTTGCTTGAGCCCTAGAGGTCAAGGCTGCTGTAAGCCAAGAATGTGCCAGCCACTGCACTCCAGCCTGTGTGACAGAGCAAGATGCCTTCTCAAAAAAATAAAAGAAAAAAAAAGATTTTGAAACAAAAAGAAGTCAGAAGGAGCCAAATCAGGACTATAGGGTAAATGCCTAATGATTTTCCACTGAAACTCTTGAAAAATTGCCCTTGTTTGATCACAGGAATGACCAGGAGTATGGTCATGGTGGAGAAGGACTTTCTAGCAAAGCTCTCTCTCTAGTGTTTTTCTGCTAAAGCTTTGACTAACTTTCTCAAAACATTCTCATAATAAGCAGATGTTATCATTCTTTGGCCCTGCAGAAAATCAACAAGCAAAATGTCTGAGATCCCAAAAAACTGTTGCCATGACCTTTGCTCTTGACTGGTCCACTTTGGTTTGACTGGACCATTTCTACCTCTTGGTAGCCACTGCTTTTATTATGCTCTGTCCTCAGGATATACTGGTAAAGCCATGTTTCATCTGTTACAATTTTTTCAAGAAATACTTCAGGATCTTGATCCCATTTGTTTAAAATTTCCATTGAAGGCCAGGCACAGTGGCTCATGCCTGTAATTCCAACACTTTGGGAGGCCAAGGTGGGCAAATCACAAAGTAAGGAGTTTTAGACCAGCCTGACCAACATGGTGAAACCCTGTCTCTACTAAAAATATAAAAAATTAGCCAGGCATGGTTGCATGCGTCTGTAATCCCAGCTACTCAGGAGGCTGAGGCAGAAGAATCACTTGAACCCGGGAGGTGGAGGTTGCAGTGAGTCGAGATCACGCCATTGCACTCCAGCCTGGGCAACAGAGCAAGACTCCATCCCCCAAAAAAAAAAAATTTCCATTGAAAGCAATGCTTGTCTATAGTTGATCTAGGTGCAATAATTTTGGCCCTCATTGAGCTGCAAGTTTGCCCAAGTTTAATTTCAGCCAGAATTGTGTAAGCTGAATCACTTGAGATGTCTGTGATGTTAACTATTGTTTTTGCTGTTAATCACTGGTCCTCTTTAAGGCACAAACAAAGTTAATTTTTTTCTTGCAAATTGATGTGGATAGTCTTACGTTACAACCTTCATCTTTAACATTGTCCTGTCTTTTTTTTTTTTTTTTTTGACATGGAGTCTTGCTCTGTCACCAAGCTGGAGTGCAGTGGCACGATCTCAGCTCACTACAACCTCTGCCTCCCAGGTTGGAGCAATTCTCCTGCCTCAACCTCCCAAGTTGCTGGGACTACAGGCACGTACCACCATGCCCAGCTAATTTTTATATTTTTAGTAGAGACAAGGTTTCACCATGTTGGTCAGGCTGGTCTTCATGATCTGCCCACCTCGGCCTCCCTAAATGCTGGGATTATAGGCATGAGTCACCGCACCTGTCCTGTCCTGTCCTGTCCTTTCTTAAAACGAATTATCCACTTGTAAACTGCTGATTTCTTTGAGGCATTGTCCCCATAAACTTTTTGTAAATCATCAATGATTTCACCATTCTTTCACCCAAGTTTCACCATAAATTTTATGTTTGTTCTTGCTACAATTTTAGCAGAATTCATGTTGCTTTAATAGGAGATTTTTTCAAACTGATGTCTTATCCTTCCTTAGTTTCTCAAACTAGGTCCTGTGAAAGTTTATTTTGGCACAAAAAATTTTTGAAAAACATGCATAGTTTTTTCATAATACACATTTCCCATGACCTTTCAGAGGTCCCCTTGTGTATCTATCTATCATATACCCACTCACCCACCTACCTATACCTACCTATCTACTTACTCCTATTGGTTGTTTATCTGGAGAATCCTGACTAACACAAGTTCTAAAGATCCTGGAGGTCCAGTAAAGATAAAATATAGCAGAAAGCATGCTTGCTGTTAGGTCTGGCAAAGTAACATTCTTGAACGTCCAGACAGATGCTATCTTAC